CTACGTTGTGTCCCAAGTTTACATATTGATTGTAATATCTTCTGCATTTCTAAATGATAATTTGTTATTTTTGGACATTACTAGTAACATCGTCATGCACGCAGAAACCATAACTTCTCCTCCAGCTGCTACAGATATGTCAGGTATGTTTTTATGAAATATGAGGAAAGAAAACAATATCAATTATTATTATATGTGGGGTTATTTTGATTTCCTTTAACCCATGTATTTCTTTACACACATGATGTATGTTCCAGTTTAAGAAAAAATTAGGGTAAATCAAAAGTTTTATCAAACATATATCCCCTCACTATATCAATGAATTACATTACAGTTTTTTTCCAGTCCCAGGTCAGAGTTCTTCACCTTCTTCAAGTTGTATGGTCTCTCCAACAACTGGTACTCAAACACTAGCATTTTTGAGCTGTGGAACTCTACGAAAGATTAAGTTGCATGAGAAACTAAGAGCTATGAGAAGAAAAAAATGCATGAAAACATCCAGTCATGAGTTCATCCCGGTGAAGACAGTGTGGTGCTCGTAGTGTCTGTTTGAACGCCCAAGGGCGTGCTTAGAAGAGCTTCTTCTAAATAATGTGTGTTGCCAATAGAAACTGTTCCTACTGACTAACAATTTTTTGAAATTATCCTTTTTTACTATATGTTACTAATGTTAGTTTTATTGTTTTTATTTTGCATTTAAGTTGAAAGTAGGTTTTTTCAAAGGGGGCGGCATGTACGGTGAGAGTTCATTTTATTCATATTTTCTTATGTCTCGTACCACCCTGTACAGGCAAATGGCTGCATTCCAGAACACTTAAACCTCTCACAGTTCATCCCTCTCAAGCGAGCGTTGATCGGTTCGATGTATATTAGTAAGTGTCAGTTCTGTCGTAAACGGCAAACATCTGTTTGTTCTCTTCCATATTCATGCACTGTAAAAATATCTACTATCGAAGTAAATAGTTGAATATTGAAGTAGTGTTTTATTAACAAGGTTAACGCTACAAAATTCAGTTTGATCATACAAACAAAACTTTGATAAAATGACATTCATTTATCTATTATTCTTGGTGTCACACCTAGTAATTGTGAGTTTGAAGTTGGTGACAGGAATATTATATATTTATTTGATACATGTCATTTGATCAAAGCCACGAGAAATAATTTGATGCAAAACGTGTTTTGTTTTGATGAAAAGAAAACATCATGGTCCTTCATAGATAAGTTTTTTCAGCAAGATAAAAAGCAAACCTATAGACGTGCACCTAAACTCACATCTTCACATATTTGTCCTACAAATTTTGAAAAATTGAAAGTCAAACTTGTTATCCAAGTTCTGAGTAACACAGTACCTAGTGCAATGAATACTTATGTGAGTTTGGGGGCTCTTCCTGCAGATGCCATGGAAACAGTAGACGTAATTGAAAAAGATGATAAATTATTTGATTTAATGAATTTTTCTGACAATAATCACCCAAATAAATTCAAAAATGTTTTTGATTAGTGTGATTATCAGATGCAATACATGGTAGAAATGAAAGATTTCATTTGTGAGCTAAGGATTTTGAATAAGGATGGAAATGATGTTACTTCTAAGTCGAAGTTCAAAAATTGTTGGCTTGTTACCATCAATGGTATTTTGAAACTCTGGGAAAAGTTGCAAGCAGTAGGTTTCAAAAATCTGAAAACTCGAAGAGTAAATCAAGATGCAATTGAGCATTTTTTTGGTACTGTTAAACAGCAGGGAGGAAATTGTGTAAATCCTACACCCATCCAGTTTGAGAGAGCTTTCAGAAAACTGTTTTGTCAGATTTTTTTTCATACATCAAATATGAATTGCAATGATGATTTTGAAGAATTGCTGATGAAACCTAAGTCTAATGATATTATAGTCACTGATAAAATTTCAAAGCCTTTAAAAGACGAAAAATCAAAAACTCTTCCTGATCATGATTACAGACGAGAACTTATGCCAATGCAGAATGCTTTCAATGATGTCTGTGGTTATTTAATCAAAAAGTCATTGATTGTCCACAGCTGTGAAGTTTGTAGAGGCTAATAATTTAGGTTATAATAAATTATTCACTCATTTCAAAGCGTTTGAGAATAATCAAAGTTGTTATGGTGGACTTAGGTCTCCTAGTGAAGATTTCATTAACTTCATTTATCAATTGGAGAAGATATTCATTTCAGAATTTGATGATTTGTGCAAAGGAAAAGTGATCTCTGGAATATTCTGTATTATCAAATGCATTATGCACAAAACTCAATGCTTTTTCATAATATAGCTATTGTTGAGGTCACTAATACCAATGCTAACTAATAAACACGTCCTATTTTCAAATATTATTGTATATATTATATTGCACAAAAGTACCTACTCATGATGTAAATGTCGTCAGTTCTTTAATGAAAGATTTTTTGTGGTACTGATATACTTTACAAACCTTCATCAAAATGTATCCTTTCTGTGGATTTTCATGATATGTCTAGTAATTGTAATTAATTGATTTTTTTATTTTGGTTAAATTTATTTTTAAACTTTACTTTTCATTAGTGTTGTTACTTTTTACTTGCTAAAAATATATGTAATGTAGTGAAATAAACATTTATCTATCACATATTTCATCGAAATGTGTCTAATTGAAATCGATTTTATGTTATTATTGATAATTACGTACCTATGCTTTGTTATTTGAATTAATTGAATGTAATGAATAAACAAGTCCGATTGTTGATGAACCATATTGCTTTGAATAAGTATTTCACATTGTAACTTAAAAAAAAAAGTTTCAATAACAAAATGTGTTTTGATCAAATATTCATTGTTGATCAGAAAAGAAACATGTTCACCATTCATGTACGGAGCAACTTTTGTGTACCAATTATATTTTTATTTTGTTTGTTTATATTATAAAATACATGTTCGAAAAAACATGATTCATGAAAAAAATTTGTTTTGTTCAATTGATCGGTGTCGAAACAAATCTGCTTAGTTTTGCTGGATTCACAGATTTGGAATGAAACAAACCTCAAAACATTGAATACATTTCTTAATGACAGATTGGTAAAATTCTAGTTCTCAGCTGCTTTGTTTTCTACAGTGATAATTGGAACATAATACATTTTGTTCCCAAATCATAATATCGTTTGAAGGTTCGTACCATCACAATTTAAAATTCATATTCGTGAAAGAAGCAAGTTATGTTCATTCAGGTAGTGTAGAAAATACAAATGAACTTACTCCCATGGGAATGTTTGAAAATATATTCACAATTTTGTACATTTCCTTCAGGAATAAAGTCGAGAATCAAAACCAGTAGTGGATATTAAATCTTTTCTGCCTTTTCGCACCATCAAAGGAACATTCTCATTCCACAGGATTCCTATAGAATGCGGATATTTACTACTTAATTAATAAAATAACATGCAAGCAAATTGTAAATGAATATTAATATGTTTTATGTTGAGTTTTTCCTTAGTGTTTCAGTTTAAAATTATACAGAGGCTAAAAATTCTCAAAACTGACTCATAAAAATAATAGTATCTGGATACCCCCCATTTTTATTACTATATGTTCATTGATAACCCTTCTTGAGTGAAATAAATATGTGGGACATGAATCTGGATGCCGTTGCCATACAAAGAAGACGAAATGAAATTAAAATTATAGACATGATTATATTAGTATAATTTCACTGATTAATATTGGAAGGTAAAGAAGGAGGAAGGTGAAATCAACAAAATAAACCACGATATTTAGAAAAAGAAAGAAAGCAATCAACAGAGTTTATAAGAAATAGAATTAAAATGTATAACTCTATCTCCAGTAATATTTTAACTGAAGGAAATTTTGATAGGAAATAGTAACTCGAATCTGAAAACTAATGAACACGGTCAAACCTATTGTTTAATCGTTTCAAATAAGATTTCTAGCCACCACTAATCCTTAGCAGCTACGGATTCTTGAATATGTGTTATTGGCAAATGAAAAGAGGACTCAAAATAAATATTGATCCAAACTTACATATACACAAAGACATCTACACTGTCCGTTTGGATGAAAATATCTGAAAATACCAAAATTGGGATTTGCCAGACATCATTCACCTCTTACTGTAAATATAAAATAACTTCTAGAAATATTTAACTGTCAAAATTTGTTTTTCCGTTAATCCCCTACGAACGAAGTCGAAACTTGTGCAAGCTAAAGACTAACGAGGTCTTGCTTTTCAACGTGTGATTTTTAACACGGGTTGGACGATAGGAAGTGAAAATCAATCGTTCGGCCTTGCAGTTCGAACCACCGGTTCACACAGCGGTCGATTGAGTGTGTCGAATAAACCACCTACGCCAACCCGTCCTACAGAAACCCTTCAGTTTTAAATCTCAACACTGTTGTTGAATTTTTGATATGGACTCAAAAATTCAAGTAGCACTTCATTGTGAGATTTCCACTGGAAAGTTAATAAAACCGCAACACATGTTTCGCTATACAATAGCTTCCCGAAGTGTTTTCATATGCTTTATATATGAAAATACTTAAGGAAGCTTTTTACACTCTAATGGTCAATCGAATAAGAGACGCGAATAGATCCATGACGTCATGGACTTGATTTCAGAATTTCAACAATTGATATCTACAACGTACGACAGTAAGAAAAAATGTTCCTACATAAATTTGAATTTTCTTTCTGATGAGTTGAAAAAAATCATGAAAGGAGCTTATTGTTTTCATATTGATCACACAGTTAAAATTTGTAAAAATACAATTCTGAGATTGAATTCGGAATTTCCAAGTTTAAGTCGGAATTTCCTACTTCAATCTCGGAAAAATTCAATTCCGAAGTGAAAGCTCTTTTACACTTCCGTAAATTCTGAGTTCAAAGTTATAATTGTAGAACTACTTAGTTACAAATCGAAAAAATATAATTCAGGGTTAGAAGTTCCAAAAATCAAAAAATAACTGATGTGCTCATTCCAAGTTTTCATACATTTGCGCACATTTCAAGAATTTTCTTACATTTTTGTTTGAAATCAGTTTCCATGGTGTACGGCTCTGTAAGGTGAGCGACATTTTGGTCATATTTCGATATTTTGTTGAATTTTACAGTTATGATGTAATATTCTGAACTAAATTATTGATTTCTAATTGCGGAGACTGTTCTAGTAAATTGAAAAAATTATCTCGTTTCCTGATAATTTTGAATTACCAGGATACGGGAATATAGATAGAAAGATAAGCAAATTGTTTTGAGCGAATTCTGCTAACGGCTGTCATCTGTCAGCGATGTTTGTTTTTTCCCTCTTGCAATTTGATTCTGAGTTCTGTATTTGTGAAAAATAAAAATGTGAATTTCAAGTTTTTATAATTTCAAGCATTGTCTTCTCATCAATTGTGGATTAGTATGTCGAAAAGGGATAAGAAATTGGTTCGTCTCTACATTGCTGACTGTATAGAAGTTTTGGACGCCTTAGTCCAATATGATGATATCAAAAATTTTAATAAAACCCATAGGTAAATTTTTAGATTTTTGTTTAACTATAAGTTGTACAGTACCTTTTTTTTTCAGGTTTTTTGGTTTTGCTAGAAGGCTGAAGGAAGAAGTTATGCAAAATCGAAATGATGAAGAGAAAAGCTATATATTAGGGCGCCGATACTTGAATCTAATTGATAATGTTCTCAAGAAAATTAATGATCCAAATTTAACAAAATCATTGTTTGCTAATGATTACCGCAAAACAAAAAAAATTGTGGCAAATTTAAGAGTCAGTTTAAAAAAAAGGTAAGTTCTGAAACATTTCATTCATCTTATGTTGAATTTATGATAATATAGGTATCATCTTGTCACGATATTAAGTGGTTTAGTAGCTCGTAGCTCCATAAGTCATTGTTTAATCCTTGTAACCATATTTCTTCTGGAAATGTGGGTTTTAATTTGAGTAGTCATTCAGCAGCCAACTTTCAATCAGTGTGAAAACAAATGCTCAGACAGAAATCCTTGTAGCCATCATGCAGAGTGACTCTCTTCAACTTGTAAAAAAAAATCAGTGTTGAATATGATGTACCCTGATCATGAATCTGGAGTCAAAGTTTGGGCTAAGAATCAACTTCTTGCGGCACTTAGGGAGATAAGGTCATTCAATTATCAAAAAGTCTAAAAATTGCTATTTTCAATGACTTGGTTTTGGTAGTAAAAACTCCACCCTTTCAGAATCACATGATGCAGACATTTATATCACACAAACTTTAATTTTCTTCAATTTTTTTGGCATGTTTTTAATAATATCAATGCATCATTTATTTGTTGGCAATGTTGTGACAACTGGAATTGTTGTGGGTGAAAGCAATTAAGTTCATGCTAGGTAAAATCAATTTTATTGAGTTGTTAACTTAATAAATTAATGCCACATAATTAAACGTCAGATGTTACAGTGCAATTATCTTTTGCTACCTTTACTTTGTTGGCTTAAGCTATGACTCTCCTCCGTTCCCAGTACGCTTAGCATCCAGCTGACTCAGGTCATTACTGTCACTATTTGCCCCTTTCTAGTTATTGTTATGTGTTTTACAAGATGATCCTCGACACTCCCATATAGATTGTTGCATTGTTAAATTGTTTTATTTCCTCACTAGAAAAGATGTACAGAGTACACATACAAGGTTAAACCCTCAGTGGATTTGCAATTTATTCATCATTACCTTCAAGATGTTGATTCTATTTTGTATGCAACATGGATGGATAAATATTATTATTATTATTGTGATATTTCATCTGTCCAGTTGTCATTATGGTCACTCATGTGACACTTTCAGAATGAATATAAGGTCAAAGTTATGTAAGTATGTATGTCAAAAATATTTTTTGCCTTATTTTTTTTGTACAAAGTTATAGTCGAATGGCTTTCTCATTTATAGAATTCTTTACTGTGCATTAACAATAACCTACTTTTTGTAAATGTCCTAAAATTTGACAAACAAAACATGGCTTTCTTGTTATTGACTGTTTATAGTTTCCAGTATGACCTGAAAAAATATGTATTTTACTTCAGTAAATGAAATTTACTGAAATTTGATTTTTTGATTTTACTGCATATGAAATTTCTTTATCCTATCGACATGAACAATATTGGTTTCAAACGACCCCGCAAAACCCTTATGGAATTTGGGTCTTGGTGGATTTTTTTGAATTCTTGATATGATGAAGTCCATGTAATTCTCAACCAATGCTACATTTGGGCCAACCCCAAAAAAGGAACAGTTTTGTCGCTAGGGGTCGTTAAAATCAACCCTTTCTCAGACTAGACTACTCATTTTCGAAACCGGGAAAGACATTTTCACCTGTTTCCATCTAGATGATGTAGCATATGATTATGCTCTTTAATAAAAACATTCTTCACTCGTCCTCTTTTCTCTGCCACCTATTATGAAACGCAAAAAAATTATATCTGGATTACTTTGAAATGCATCGTCGGATGTATGAATATGCTTGAAATAGCACTTATTCATATGATCATACCCCCTCTCCCCCGAAAGGTACAAAACAAAAAAAATCGGTGGATTTTTCTGAATTTTCACTATGATGCAGTTCATGTTATTGTGAAGAGAAATGAATTATAGTCTATTTCAAAAGAGTGTAGAGTAATAAAATCTCATTAAGTATTCAAAAGCGCTACAGGATGATCCGTCAATAAATTCTGTCACTTCCCTAGTCCGCATTGCAAAATTATGTCGTTTCATAAAGAGCAGGTAGGTATCACCCTGTTTTAAGGGATTTGTCCATTGTTATCGACGGATAAATACTGAGCCAGAGGCGCGCTAGTGGGATAATTGCCAAAAGAATATGCATTCATAAAAATTATATTAAAGGAAATAAAAATTTAATACAGCAGAACAGTGTTATTAAAAAAATATAAAATGTAACAATAAAATATATACGAACCGAAATCGGGAAATACTCACAAACACACACGAACGAACTTTACGTATTGAAACACTTGTGGGGACTTTAAATCAATTTATTCACAAAAACGACAAGAACTTTACTGGATACGTTATTACAATTTGACACTTGAACAATACTAAAACTGTGAACTTCCCTTAACGTT